ACTGGGCGGTTGGTCACCCAGGGCTCAGGGACGGGCTGTTTGCCCAAGCTCACAAGGCTGGATCCCGGATGTGCATGTGAAGCAGAAAGCAGGCCCTCTGAGTCTGGGGAGCCCCTTATCTCTGTCAATTGTACCCATTTTGCAGCTGAATAAGTTGAGGGCCAGAGAGAGATGCTCTAACGTGTCCAGTCGCACAGCGTGCTGCTGGAAGGAGGAAGACTCCAGTGTGGGCCGTGTGAGTGATGGCCCTTTCTCCTCTCAGCTACCTCCAATAAAGAACTTTCCATCAAGATGGAAAGGAGAGAAAAAGATGACGGCCAAGAAAAGGTGTGTCCTCTTCGGACAAGCACACCGCCCTTCCCTGGCGCTACCGGAACAAGTAGGAAAAGGAGGTCGTCATCTCGCAAACAGAGTTTGTAAGGAAAGACAGATTTAAAAATTCACACCAAGGAAATGATCTTATAGAATATGCGGCCACTAGGCAGGGAACATTTGAACCCTTCAAAGTACTGGGTGTGTTGCTTTGCTGCCAGAATCATTCTATCGGGGGGATCAGTGTGTGATGGTGTACCCTCCTCAAAGCTGGCAGCCCCTTGCAGTGGTGAGTGTTTCTGAACAGCTTCTCCTGGGTCCTGTAGACCAAACTTTGAGAACCGATTCTATTCTGCGCACGAAGCTGGTAAGCAGCTTGGGAAGCTGGGCACTGGCCAGGAAAGAACGCGCTCTGTCTTGGAACACAGTTCATTGTAAAATGCAGCTTGACATCAATAAAAATAATCACTATTTGATGTATTTCTTATAATTATAGGTCATCATTGGGCGAGGCTTCACAGTTTGCAAAGTTGTGATTTGGCCTCAGTCATGCTGACGCGGGGAGCCAACCAGGCCCCGGCGCCTCACGCAGTCCTGGCCGGCATCCTGGATGCCATAAGCTGCTGCACAACTTCAGGGAAGAAAACATTTTGGAAATGAGGAGAAAACTGTGAGGGAGTTGCAACCGTAAACACCAAATGTGCTAAAGAGTGGAGACTTATGCAGAGCTAAAAGAGGGCAGGTGGGGCCTGTTCTCAGTTGTTTCAATGTGAAGAAAACACAGGGCTGACTCCATTCTGCTCCCGCAGCTCACATGTGCCTTGTGGATGGCGGGTGTTGTGGTTCCGGCGAGCACCCAGGGCCGCGTGAGGATCGGGGCTCTAGGAGCCAAAAGGGATTCTCAGAAAAAAAGGTGAACAGCTGTGGTTCTTGTCGAATCCGAAGCCTTAAGCATTGTTCAATCCTTCCCTTATGTCGGACATTTGTGTGATTTGAATTGTTTTGCTTATACAAATAACATTAGGATGAAAACTTCGGTGCACTTAACTTATTCTTTTGCATTGTTGCCTTAAACTAATTTCCTAGGAGTGGGATTACTGATTAAACGCTGTGAACATTTTAATGTCTCTTTTGAAATATTGCCAAATTTCCCGGACTGGTTGAGTCAATTTACACCACCAGTAGCAATATAGGGACACACTGATTTTACTACTACCTTGCAGGCATTATGTATTATAGCTCACCCCCACTTTTTTTTTTCTTTTTGGTAATTTAAATGCTATCTATTAGAATCTAGGTCTTCTAAAGGCAAATTCAGGCACTAGCCCCACTTTCCCACCCCCGACTCGAGTTCCATCTCTTGCCCTTTTTTTAAAATTTTTTTTATTTATTTATGCATACAACAACTGGGGTGTAGGCCAGAGGAGGAGGGGGTGAGAGGATTCACCAGAGACAGAGTGGGGAGCAGAACAGGCAGACTGACTGAAATACACTGCTGAGGGGAGCAGGGGGCGAGGCAGGAGAGGTCCGCTGCGCCTGGGCAGGCCTCATCCATCGCTTGCCCTTCTGAGAGTGAACCACTCGCAAGATGGCACAGTTAAATGAAAAGAAAGGCGATCCTAAGGCAGGGCGTCTGACCCGCTTTGGAAAGTTTTTTTTTTAAATTAATTAATTAAATTTTTAAGATTTATTTATTTATGTATACAAGAGCTGCAGCACAGGCCAGAGATGCGGGGGATGAGAGGATGCACCGCTTCATAGTGTGGTGGCTTAACCCCTTGCGCCACCAGGGAGCCCCGCTTTGGAAAGTTTTTGAAGACACCCGAGGCAGAAGGTGCTTTGTGGAGGACCTCAGGCTCTGCTATCAGCAAGACCTGCCTTGCACCCCATTCTTTCTATTTCCTGGAGGAGTGGTTTGGGCCAATCGAATTAACCTCTTAAGACTCAGTTTCCCCACCTGAAAACTGGGGATGATAAAAGTACCTACCGCATAGTGATCCATTGTGGATGCTTGATAACCGTTATATTGTGTGTACATATGAATACTTACAGATGGTGCGATATGTGAATACTGAAATGTGTATGATTTACTTACATTTATTTTGAATATTTGCACAACTTTTTATGACATATTACCTTGGGACTGGGATTGCACCATTAAAATGTATACACAAGTTGCAAATTTATAAATATTGACAAGTGCTCTTTAAAAAAGATCATTCCGGGCCTCCCCGGTGGCGCAGCGGTTGAGCGCTGGGTTGCGAAGCTGCCCGCAGCCTCTGCAGCACCGGTTCGATCCCCGGCTGCTCCCCGGCCACTGGAGGAGGGTCCTGTATGTCGCGCAGACCTCTCCTGCCGCCCACTGCTCCCCTCAGCAGTGTACTTCGGTCCTTCTGCCTGCTCTGCTCCCCGCTCTGGCTCTGGTGAATTCTCTCACCCTCCCGCGCTTCTGACTGTACCCAGTGCTTGCATAAATAAGTGAAAATAAATCTTTTTAAAAAAAAGATCATTCCAAGAAAAATGTTTTTTTGCTGTTTCTTTTTAGTGTTTCTTTGTGAGATGATGGATGCGTATCAAACATATTGCAGGAATCATTTCACAATAAATGTAAGTCAAACCACTATGCAGTCCACTTATACAGTGCTGTGTGTCAGTTAGGTCTGAATAAAACTGAAAAAAAGGAAAGATAGTATTAAAATGATAATTTGCTTCTGAAGGAAAAAGATCATTCCACTTTGTACTCCTACAAACCACACCGATAGCACTGGGTATTTTCAGTCTTTTTAAAAGAAAGATTTATTTTACTTATTTATGCATAAAAGAGCTGGGGTGTAGGCCAATGCAGGGCGGGGTGTGTGTGTGAGAGAGAGGATTCACCAGACAGAACGGGGAGCAGAACAGGTGGATTGATTGAAATACACTGCCAGGGGTGGAGCAGGCGAGACAGGAGAGTGGCTGCTGATAGCTTCATAGTGCTGAGACTCAACCCCTTGCACCACCAGGGAGGCCTCAAGTTTTTGTTTTTGTTTTTGTTTTTATCAACACATGGGTAGGTCTATGGTCAGATGGCCCTTTGTTCCCCAGCAAGCTGCAAGGCTAGGGGATGACATGATGTGCAGAACTTTAGCCGGTGGCCTGGTTTCTGATGGAAGTTTAAGAAGTAACCTATAGGGAGTATGGTGGCCAAAAAGGTTCCTGCTTCTTCAAAGCACTTATGGGGGTGAAGGCACAAAAGGAGCTTGATTCTATAGTACTCAAGGGTGTATGGTGGTCAAATGGACTCTCACTTACACAGCTATGTATAAGAGAATTGTGGAATGGCCCACAGTTCCCCAGTACCTGCAGGATTGGGGGGGGGTGTCAGAATGATCTTTGGAACCCACGTGGGCATTCAGGTTGGTAACCGGAAGTTCCTCTGGGACAGCAGGCCCCCGGAAAGACAGCCAGCAAAAGGCACTTGTCTTTCTTTTCTTTTTTTTTTTCAGATTTATTTATTTATACAAGAACTGGGGTACAGGCCAGAGGTGTGTGGGGGGTGTGAGAGGATTCACCAGAGACAGTGGGGAACAGAACAGTGACTGAAACACACTGTTGAGGGGAGCAGCGGACGAGACAGGAGGGGTCTGCTGCGCCAAGGCCGAGACAGGAGAGGTCTGCCGCGCCATGTGGGAATCTCCCCGGCCTGCCGGGAATCGAACCCCCGCTGCAGAGGCTGCGGACAGCTTCACAGCGCGGCGCTCCAGCCGCTGCGCCACCGGGGAGGCCCCGGCACTTGTCTTTCACAGCACTCTGGAGTTTGCAGCTGTGAAGTTTTTTTGGTCTTCCTGTCTGCCTCAGGCGGGGTCCTGCAGGATGCAGGGATACGTGGGTTTCAGGCTAGCTGCTGGTGGGGAGGGGCTACCATCCGGACGTGCGGGGAGGACCAGAGGGTGGGCGGAAGGGCACTGCTGGCCCATCAGCTGGAAGGCCGGTGGCTGATGGCGCGCAGGTAGGTTGCTAGCCGGAAGGGCGGGCCTTTGACTGGTCGCTAGAGCAGACCTGTAAGTTAGCGCCAAGGGATTCCACTGTCGCACCGCCGAAAGCCGGTTAGCCCTTGGTACCCAGCACCAGAACAGGCTGGGGGGACCAAATAACCAGCGGAACCCAGTGGGCGAGTATGTTTGTGACCCAAAGAGAGGGTGCGCCCCCTGCGGGACAAGGACGGTGGCCCAGCGGGCTCTCACGCCCAAAGCGCACGCACGTGCACGCTAGGAACAGAAGGGCTCAGTTCTGTCGCGTGTGAGACCCGTACGATGAGCAAAAGGGTCCTTCATTTCCATGGACGGGGTTCCCTGGCGGCTGGCTGGCTCTTTTTTCCCAGTGCAAAGGGTCAAAAAGACGCGTGGAACCCGGTGAGGGCCGCCGAGCGTCGCACTGGAAGGTGGCTCAGGGCGGCGGCGGGCAGGGCTCTTGCTTCCTTGACACGCAGCTGGCAACTGACTTGACTTTGAAGGCGCGAAGGAAGCTCAGCTCGACAGCGCTCTGGGCCGCCAGTGGGGGCTGACGGGGCTTTTAATTACACGGCCGTGGGCAGGAGAGTTGCTGGAACCGCCCCGCTTGCTCAGCTGGGGCCAGAATGCACCGCGGAGCGCATGCGCAGTCAAGTTGGCGCCCTCGGGGCACTTTGCGACGCCAGGCGTTGGGGAAGTGGCTGCCGAAAGGCACCTTTTTCACAGAACTCCGGAGGCCTGAGGTCTATAGGACTTTTGGTTTCCCTGTCTGCTGGAGCCCTTAAGGATCCACACATTTCATGGATTTGGGGACGACTCGTGACCGGAATAATCTCAGATCCTGTTGTTCTCTAGCCTGAAAATAGCGGATAGCGGAAAAGGTACTGGTTGCCCCAACACTTCGGAGGGCTGGTGGCCTATCGGGCTCTCATTTCCACTGTACGTGGACAGGTTATTAGTGGGAAGGGCCCTCAGCTCACCACCATACAAATCTTAATGATCCCCAAAAGGCTTTTATTGCCAAAGCATATGGACCCTTGGTTCCCTAGTACCCAAGCAGACCCGGAGGTGGGGTGGGGTGGGGTGGTGGTGGGATGGTGGTACCGAATGACCCTTGCAGCCCTGGTGAGTGAGCACGTTTGTGAGCAGAAGGACCCATGAACACTACTGAAGGATGGTGGTCTGAAGGGTTCTCACAGGCACAGGACACTCGGTATGAAGCCAGAAAAGCCTTATTATTTTAGCAGGAGGGTGGCTCAGAGAGTTCTGACCTGGGGCCACAAGAGCCCTGAGCTCCATAAATGGTGGCTAAGAGGGCCTTGCATCTCTTCAGCAAGTTCTCCAGCAGGCAGCAGTGTGGGGGCAGAAATGATCTAGGGAAGTCTAGTGTGTGGATAGGCTGGTGACACTTGGTCACTTGTCTTTAGACCCAGTGGAGCAAAATCTGGACCTATTGGGGAAGACAGCACGTTCCCCAGACATCATGATCTTTTAACCTGGATGCATTCACCATATGGCACTTTGAGGTCCCCCCACCCCCAGAGTGTGGTCTGTGTCTGGGAAGAAGCATGATAGTGAATATTTGATGTCCAGAAAGGAGTCATACGGCAAGACTGCTAATTTTGTTCATTGTCTGAGTTCTCTTTTTCCTGAGCCCTAGTTTCCCTTGCAGTTTGGTGTGGCCATGTGATTGGTTCTGGCCAACAGAATTAGAGTGTATGTGATGAGAGCCACATCTAGTCCTGGCCTCTACCACACCGCTCATGTGTCACCCTCTTCCTCTGTCTGTAACTAAGTGAAGAGGACTTCATGGCCTTAGAAAAGGGCACTTCTATCAATGGAAGGAAACAGTCCTTGACTAACTATGGAATAGAACACATGTGATAGGTGACATGAAAGAGAGTTTAACTTTAAGTTAAACCTCTGAACTTTCAGGAGTAATCTCTAGCAGTTGGTGTTGATCCTAACTAAACAACAGCATGGACCTGCTGAGTTCCCTGATATCCTCTTAAATCTTTTTAAAAAGAGATTTATTTATTTATGCATACAAGAACTGGGGTACAGGCCAGAGATGCGGGGGGGGGGGCGCGGCGGGGAGGGTGAGAGGATTCACCAGAGACAGAGTGGGGAACAGAACAGGCAGAATGACCAAAAACACTGCTGAGGGGAGCAGTGGGCAAGGCAGGAGAGATCTGCTGCGCCATGTGGGACCCTCCCTGGCCGGCCGGGAATTGAACCCGCACTGCAGAGGCTGCGGACAGCTTCAAGGCACTGCTCTCAACCCACTGTGCCACGGGGAGGCCCTGGAGCCATTTGGTTTTTAACTCTTAGAGAAGGCTGCTGTAATGGGTGACAAGAAGATTGGGTAACTCTTCACTGAGAGGGAAAAGGCAAGGGAAAATATGAAATGATGGAATTACCACACAAAAGCTGGTAGGCTCAGTAGCTTTCCATCCCAGGCAAACTAATGTAGAGTGGGCTTATATGCTCATGCAATTAGATGAGATACAATGGGATGCACAGAATTTGAATGCTTCAAATGACTCATTTGGAGTTTGGCTACAGCTTTAGCTCGCCCCTGTAGACCTGTGTGATTTGGAGGTGGGTAGAGGAGAGTAACAGGACAGTCATTTACATATGTTTTCATTTTGTGAGCTTCTTTCTTCTCAAGTTTGAGGTGGGTTTCATACCTTTTTTAGAAGTCTTGCTGGAATGTGATGGAATCAAGGTGGCAGCGGATGTGCTATTAGCAGACACTGCTGAAGATGGACATTTCTCAGAAGCCAGGTAAGTAGGCAAGCTGGCCTTTGTTCTCTGCATAATCTGAAGTGCTCTCAGATCTGCAGCAAAGCACTTGAAAAGCAGCACATCTGAATTGACAAAGAGATCTTTATTTTTCTTCCACAATGCGCAGAGAAAAGGTAGACAGAATTGGAGTGTGAATTTATTTCTTTGGGAGTGTGCGCTATCTGTTCGCAAAGGAAATGCTAATGGACGTTATGTTCCTGCTTTGAGGCTGCAGTTTCCTGTCTCACGTTGTTGTATTATGTTTTTGTGCTGGGTCCAGAAGGCGGCCTCCCACTCAGTGGATGGGGTGGCGCAGCTCTTGGAACAGCTGCCTGGGTGGGAGGAGGGATCCCTGCTTCTCCAGCTCTGGCCCTGGCTAAAAGGAGCATGCTCCTGGCCAGGCTGGGCCATGGTATCTCCATTTTGAATTACATATGCTAGAGGACATAATGATATGATGAACATGCGAAGCCTTTGATTTTTTAGAGTTGCTATCTAGGTATTGTCATTGGATAAACCATATTAGTATAAGATTTATTTATATTGGGGACTGAAGTTCTGTCTTCTGTGTGTAGGTGGCCGCACCGAGGTCAATGGAAACATCTTGGGATGTTCAGATACTGACTTTGTGGTTGGGAAAATAGTCATTTATTAGAGGCCCTATCACTATTTTCTGTCAATTTAGTGACTGAAGGGTAAAATCATTCTTGTTTCACTGTAATATTCTGAAATACTTTCTGGCCACCCAAATTTGGGGTGTCATGATAATGGTTCTATTCAGAGTGGTAGCATTTTTTTTCTGTGGCTTTGTTATGGATTCTGCATGGTGCTTCTTACACCAAATGGTGGAGAATTGTTTACTAGTTATTGTCCCATTTGGAATTAATTTAAAGGCTTGAACTTCTTATTGGGAAAATAAAATTCATTTGCGCTCCTTTGATGTACATAACTTTCTGTTAGCCTTCCAGTCTTACTTTGGTTTGGAGATGTTTCACCTCAGATACCTGGAGCAGTTTGGGGCAGTTCCCCAACACTCGATCACCTAAAGACAGTGCACACCCACTGGTGACGCTGCATCTGGGCTGGGGAGTGGACATCTGGGGACCAGAGTTCCCTCCACAGCAGCCAGTCCTTGTACAAGTGGGCATTGAACTCATCTATTGAATCAGGTATTTTCTAGGCTTTGGAAATCCATGAGGGGAAGTCGGGGAGTCCTGCTCAATACGGGGTTGTTAGCTACAATGCCTCGGCTCCCTCCCCAGCCCTGGGCAGCGCTTTGGCGCTCTGAGTAGGGAGCAACAGTTCATGGGAAACACTGGAAGGTTTAAAGCCTTTTGTCTTTCAGTAAAGATGTCTTTTCTTCTTTTATTTTAAGCACAGAACATTCAGCACAACACCAGCAAGAATCTTTACTGGATATGGAGACGTACAAATTTCTACCAGATGGCTCTTATCTTTGTATTATGTGAGGAAGGGTCAGAGTTAACCACTGTGGTGTTCAGTTCTGTTCCTGGGGCTTCCATTTCCTCTTGCCTTCTTTGGAAACCATTTCCTGGTGTTCTAATTCTGTATCGTGCCAAGTAGTAAAAGCACAGCAGAAAACCCCGGAAGTAGCTTGTGGTGAAGTTTCAAGTTTTTTGGCTTTTATCCAAACACTCGTGAGCTTCATTTGTGTTCACATATAAGAAAAGCCAACCCAATCTCCTAATAATGCTTTATTTAGTGCTTAAACTTTAATTGCAGGGTATAAATGATACCATTAGGAACCGATATCAATACTAATGCCACCTATATTATTATTTACTCGGCTGAAAACTAAGCTTGTTGAAATATATTTATTAACACTGCACCCTAGAACTACACATTTAAAGCTTAATTCTGTGGCTGCTCATGAATTCTCAGCATACTACAGTGTCGGGGCTTCCGAGCTTGAAATAAATTCATTATGAAATTTGAGTGATGAAGTGTGTTAGGGTATTTTTTTTTCCAGGTCACAAATACAAGCAGGGGATAAAGCACCCTTTGTGGAATCCTAGCCCTTAAGCTAACAAACAGTTAAATTCAGCATTTATGATGTATAAACTTTGCTCCTTAGCATTAAAATGTACCTTATTCATTCCTTAGATTTCTCTTTCAACCATGGCTATTGTTTGTCACTAACAGCTAGCTTTTGTGAAGTTAATAAATGTGCATAATAAGGACATAAAGGTATGGAGAAGTAATACTGTAATCCTTTTGTTTGGATAATCAGTCTAATGTATGCAAATTAAACCTTATTAGTACTAGGGTTTTGTGTCTGCTTATCAAAATGTGCCATTTTCATGAAAATTGGAAGTCCATTATATAAAGTTATTATTAACAATCATTTAGGAATTATATACGGTATGCAAATTAAAGTTGATTACAACTAATTAAGGGCTTTCTTTGTTATTTGACCTTGTCTGCTTTTTATGTAAATATGTTTCTTTTGGTCTGGCATATTTTTAGACTCAGAAAAGTATATTAAGACAAGTTACATTATGTATTTTTTAATATATCTTTGTGTTGCCATTGTCTGTGCCCCTCATTTTACAGAGGCACACATGATATGTAGAACCATGCATCTCTCTGTTTTGGGCTTGGTTCTTTAGGTGAGTAGAATTTCAGAAATAGAAAACAATCAAATTTCCAAGACTCTTCAATATGTTTAATGGAATATGAGCACAAATCCAGTATGACATATAAACAGTCTTCATGCCAGAATGCCCTTTTTTTCCACTATTTATTGACTTTGGTGAGTCTTGCTTGGGTTGCTGGTTTCCAAATGGAACTAAGTAATAAATGATCTTTAATCTCTTACAAGTGCCCTGCAAAACCTAATTGTTATCCATGAAAGCATTCAGCTAAAGATAAGTGACTTCACAGAAAGTGTAACAGGTCCAGTACTGATGGCCTTTAGGAAGAACTGTGTGCTTCTTGTGAAAACAGGGGAGGTATTTCTCAGTGTGAAGAGGAAATACTTGAAGTGAGACTCTTTTTAGCACTTGCTATGTTATAGTTTTCCTTCGGTGCAAGTATTGTCATTGTTTTCCGTAAACAAAGAAGCTTGATACTCTGGCTGGAGCAAAGAATCCTGGGGAATTAGGTTTAATTGCTTGATAGAAAAGATCTGTTAATCAATAGCTTTTCATATGCCTTAAATTATATGGGTAGAAAAAAGCAGGGAAGATGAACAACCCAAGAAAAGATGCCAGAATATTGCATTAGTGGAAAATAAATACCATCTAAATATTTAAGAGGCAAAGTATTTAAAACTTTTTAAAAGAGAAAGAAGCAAATCACCATTGAATATATCCAAATTTTGAAATTTTCTTTTATTTTTATGCTTTGAACACTAGCAGTTCAATCTTTCAAAAATGTTAGTTGAACTCTTAGAAAAGGATTGAAAACGAACTTTTAGCTGAAAAATACAAACAGAAAAGTGCCCATATCACAAATGTATGGCTTGTTGACTTTTCACAAACTCATGACTCTGAAGTAACCAGGACCCAGATCAAGGAGCAGTACATTGACAGTATTCCAGTAACCCCCTGCTTTTTCGTCAATCAGGTGACAGTGTATGTGTGGGTTTGCCTCTGGCCTCTCTTGGGGAGAATTGACATCTTTACAATATGAAGTCCTTCATTCTATGAACATGGTATAGCTTTCATAAGGGGATGCTTTATGATTCACTATGCTTCCTAGAAAATGTAGGACAATCAAGATGAGAGAGACTATGTTCATGCATTTCTCTGGGATTTTGAGGGCCCCTGCATGGAGTAAATGCCTCACTTTCCCATTTCATCTAGGAAGGATGTAGATGTGCCACTCGGAGTCCATGTGGAGCCTCCTGTTTTCTAGCCACCTCAAGCTTTCATCATCCTTCTTATTGCAGATGATTTGTGTCTTCCTCCCTCCACAGGGCATAATTTCTTGCCCCTTTGGTTCTAATTTCTCTGCTGAGAGTTTTCTCTATAAAGCAGACCATGGTGCCCTTGGTAGCCTTCCATTTAGGTGCAGAACTCTTAGTGAACATTTTCTTCTCTGTCCCAAAGTAAAGTAAAATTTGTCCTCTTCAGGGTCAAAATGTGCCCTGCTAAAATGCACAAAACCTGACTGGCTTTTTATGTTTCTAGAGATCAAGTTTTTCTAGTAGTTCCAGATATTTTCTTCTCCCTTAGCGAGATGAGATGTGAATACTGGAATTCCTATCTCCGTGGAAATAAAGGGGAAAAAAGCCCTCATTTGCACCATGGCTTAATAGGTACAAATGGCAAAACGATCTCATGATACTGGCCTCACAGATAATACAGGCTGTGTCTGTATTGTACCATAATAAAGGTGCCGCCGTGGGTGCAGCTTTCCGCCTTCTAAGAAGATCCTTTGCTCTAGTAGGAGTTGCTGGGTGTGCCTGGAGAAGCTCCAAAAAGGTTAATAAGTGCCTGTGGAAGCAAGAGAGGGAAGATTGAAAGAGAACCCAGGAAATTCTCACAATGGTGCACGGAAAAAGAGGCAAGTGCCAAGTCTTTAGTCTGCTTTCAGAACAATGTAGAGAAACATAAACACAAGGAGAGGTATGGGTGACGCCCCCTGCTGTCAGGTGACTGCTATGTAATCAGCACTTCCTTTCCCGCATACTGACCGGCTCCAAGCCTGGGAATGAGAGAAACACAAAACTCTCTCACCTGGTGCTGGGCAAATGGGTTAAAGAGACTGGGCAAACTGCAGTTGAGTTGTAAGGGCCCTTAAGAACAGGGTCTCCAAAGTCACCATTTGCTTCAGAAGGTTTATTATTTTACATTTCTCAAAATAACATGGTAAAATTACAGGCAACACAAACAAGATTCAAGCTATGTGAGTCTTTTAATTCAGGCAGAATTTAATGTGTAATTAAGATTAATTATACCATAATGGAATTGTAGACACATGATTATTGCATCATATTCCTTGCAGACATGCATCTTGCTTTCGCATAATTCTGG